ACCACTCCAAAATGTTAGAGAGAGAGAGAGAGGATCCAAGCAAAGGAAGAATTTTGGTGGTGGTCAGTGGCCAACCAGGTTGATGGTCAGCAATAGCACCCAGGTCGGTGGTCAGTGGCGGCACACAGGTCGGCCAATTTCACTAGGTCACCCACAACAACTTCGTCGTCCTCTCACTCTACTCTTTCTTCTTCTCTTTTTTCGGAAATCAAACGTGTGGTTTCCCACAAGTGTGGGCAACTAGGCAAAAGACGAGGAAACCTTGCCAACATATTCGAACTATTTGAGCTCCCTTTTTTCTGGTGTATAAATATTATTTTACATAGGTAACAAGTACACTATTATTTTAAGGATACATACCATATATAATTAAGTCATTTATGAATTCAATTATCACAAATGTTATAACTTAATACTATGGGAGTCATAACCCAAAAAAAAAAATTGAGTTATAACTAAATATTACATGAAGTATAACCAAACAACTCTTACATCATAATCAAAATAATATTATAATCAATATCACAATGTGTCATAACTAATAACATTGTAGATCATAACCAAAGACACGATGATTATAACCAAAGGTGCATAAAATTCTCCATTTTACATATATACACATGGTCACGTTTGTTTGGCGGATTAAGTTGAATAGGATTACGGTGGAATTGAATGAGGAGATTAATAATGTAGTGGTATTAAGTTGGAAATGTAGGATAAAGTGTGTTTGTTTGTGTAATAGTATGGTGATATTAATTGATTGCAATTAAACCTATGAAATTCCATAATTACCCTTCTTTCATTATTGTAGTCATATAGACTAAGGGGTAAAATAGTCATTTACCCATTAATCACATGGGATTGTATCTCAATCCCATGGAATTATATCTTAATCTCATGTGTTTCCAAGCTTTACTAGTCTCCCCATAGTGTAGTGTAGGATTACTACTCCAAGAAGAATACTAATCTCTCCACACACACACACACTTCCAAACCAAACATGGCATGAGTGGGGCTCACCTCACTCATACTCCAATCCCTCTCTCCAAACCTCCCAACATGACCATCCCTAAGGGTGCATACCATATCCACCCTATCACAAATTGACGGAATTTCATAATAAAATTTTGTAACATCAATTATAAAATGTATAATTTCGTTACAAATTGTTATAAATAAAAAAAAATGCCGTAACTAAGTCACAAATTTTTTTAATATAAATCATAAAATTTTAAATATTTTGTTACGCTAATTTATGATAAAATTACATATTTTATAATTAATATTATAAAATTTGGTTATCCAAAACAAACGGGGCCTAAGGGTGCATACCATATCCACCCTATTACAAATTGACGGAATTTCATAATAAAATTTTGTAACATCAATCGTAAAATGTATAATTTCGTTACAAATTGTTATAAATAAAAAAAAATGCCGTAACTAAGTCACAAATTTTTTTAATATAAATCATAAAATTTTAAATATTTTGTTACGCTAATTTATGGTAAAATTACATATTTTATAATTAATATTATAAAATTTGGTTATAAATTATGGTAATTTATAATTAGGTGGGCATGATATGCACCCCTAAGGGTGCACACCCTTGGTTGTCTCATATATATATATTTGCATGAACTGTAGTCTATATGTAAATGCAATTAATGGGTTACACGCACATCCAATTAATGGGTTATACCTCTCAAATCTGTATCAGTGCACAAATGACGTATAAGCAGAGCTAACTTTAGCCTAAAATATCTAATCAGATAGGAATGACTTCTGACGTTAGATTTTAAAGAGTGAAGATTTCAAAAGTCACCCTTAAATGATATTACACAACAAAATTACTTAACCATACATCCGTAAGCGATTATCTTGATTTTAGAAGATATTTGGGTTCCACTCTCTTTATTCAAGACTTAAAACAATATACTTGTATTTAAAAGTCTAATAAAAAGATCAAAAGGAAAAAGAAAATTCTTATTATCAATTGTCCTCAATCATAAATATTGAAGGAAAAAAAAAAACTTCTTATCCATAGATTAAAAAAATAAAAATTATCAAAGGCATCTTAATAAAGCTCTTTGTCTAAGGATCCATTAGAAAACATTTCTTGTATTAACTCTCCAATCATAATGGCTTAAAAAAATATTTTTTATCCAAAGGTGAAGAAATCCTCTCGATCAAAGGCCCAACTTAAAAAAAAAAAAAAAATCGCCCAAAAGCTCTAATAGTGAGGAATGTAGATGAACCCCCAATATTTTATTTATAATACTAAAAATATAAATTTTATCTAAAAATTAAAGAATAAATTATAAATATATCCTTTGAGTTTTTTTAAAATACAAATTCTGCCTATAATTTAACAAATTACAAATACCCCCTTATAAGAATTTTTTATTTGATAGAATTAATTGAAAAAATAAAATTTCTAATTGCTTTTCTCTACAATAATAAATCACATGAATTATTAATTGAAATAAATTCCTAACATTATTAAAAATTGTTAATAATTTGATGATTTATTAATAAAAATGGATCATTTGTTATGAAATTAGAAATTTCAAGAGAGTGAGGTGTAACTTCTGGAACCACATAGAACAAATAATATTTTAAGCAACCCTCAAATGGTATATTTGTAATTTATCCAAAATTAAAATATAAAAATTAATAAATATTATTCAAATATAAAAAACCTCTTTATTAAGTTTTGCTTTTAAGCCATGGTGCGCAGTTGGCTTGGAGGGAGGATCTCAAATTGCTACTATACATGGCACTTGGCGTGGGTTTGAATTCCTTCCGTTATACAAATCCTGACTTAATTAGAGCTTATGTTAAGTAGTCGGTACAAGTTCTTAGATTATAATCTCTTATCTAGAATGAATAATATGATATCTTGGTAATCTCGAAATGGGTGCCGCCTTAGACTTACGGGAGGATGTAAGGATTTTCCTATTAAAAAAAAAAAAAAAAGTTGAGCCGCATACATATTAAATGGTATCCAAAGTTTAGTAGTCAAATTTAATCACATGCATAACATTATGCCAATATTTTAGGGCATCCTTGCTTGGCAGAGACACCATCTTCCTTAATTAACAAATTATCCTCTCTTTTGTAAACGAGTATAGAAAATTTTAATTACATTTTATATTTAAAATCATCAGAATAATGCACTCACGTTTGTTTGGTTTAAAGATTTGGTGGGAGATTTGAAAAATAAAAATAAAAAGATAAGTAAAATATGAATAAAATAAAATTATATTTCACACATTTTTTTTCTTTTCATTTTCAAATCTTTAGTCAAATTCATAAACCAAATACAGTCTTAGTGATAATTTTGATGTACATTAATTGTGAACAAGCATATGTATCAATAGATTAAGCATAATATATCATGGTGGATGAGAAGGAAGAGAATTTATGTTGAAGTAGTAGGCAAACATCAAATTTATTTTTATAATCTTAATAATAACTGTTAAATAAAATAAATATATAGGGAAATTAAAAATTATAAAGTTGTTGTGATTTTTTAAGAAATTAAATTATGCGACAAAGAATTTAAATTGTTTTTTATATAATAAAGTAGATGTAGATGTATGTAAATGTTTATTTAATTAAGATTAAATTACAAATACACTCCTAAGTTTTGTATAAAATACATATTATTTTTTGTGATTTAAAAAATTATAAATGTCCCAAATTTTTTATTTAATTAGTTAAAAAAATAAAATTCTTAACTGTTCTCCTATACAATAATAAAATTACTTGATTTATTAATTGAAATATATTTCTAAAAACATTAAAAACGGTTAATTGACTTGATAATTTATTAATAAAAGAGACTATTTATTATGAAATTAGCAATTTCAAAATGCAAAGGGTTCGTTTGGGATGTGAGCTAACATTTTGACTTTAGCCTGTGGCTAAAAAGTTTCGTTCATGATAGATTTGTTTGACTTTTTGGACTTTTGTAAAAAACAAAAAAAAGAAATGATTATAGTTTGGATATGATATTTTGTCTTATAAATTTGTGAGTAATGCTTGGGATACCAAATTTTCTACCAAATAAATGACAAATTGTGGACCCCACACCTATGTGAGATATTTAGTCATTTAGTTAGTAGAAAATTTAGAACCTATAGTATTTTCTTAAATTTTTTAATCTATTTAATCTTTTTGTGACTAAAATATTATTTTAATTTCAAATTTTGATATGTCAAACGAGTGCAAAATATAATTTTTAAAATTACAGAAATAATCACTTTGTTTGGTTTTCGTTTTCTAAAAATACTTTTTAAAAAATTGTACTTTTTTATTTTTCGTATTTTTTTATTTTTACTAAATGTTTTTAATATTTTAAGTAATTTTTTTAATTTTTAGACACACCTAACATAAATACACTTAAAAAGTATAATTTATGTGAAAAAAAATCTTTAAAAAATTAACTAAATACCAAAATTACAAAATATATATATATATATATATATGAAAACTCAGTATATTTTTTATATTTTTATATATTTATTAATTTTTTAAAATATTTTTTATAAATATTTTATTTTTTTAAATATATTTAAGTAATATATATTTAAAAATTTAAAAAAATACTTTAAATTTTAAAAATATTCATTAAAATTAAAAACATATGAGAACTAAAAAACTCAAAAAATTCAAACCAGAATTTGTAATTTACCGTTTATTTTTTATGTATTTATGTTGGCGTAGGACTGAGGTGAGTGAGGTCGAGAAAGTCTGTTTAGACCGTCACGCTCAAGTATGGTAGGTTAACGATGTACAACCCCCAACTATACTCTTCCTTAGAACTCCCGCAATTTTTTCAAATCTTCATTCCAAGAAAGAGACGTTGCTTCCACTCTCTCTCATCTCTCTCTCTCTCTCTCTCATGACACCAACAGCCCAACCTCCATGCCCAACCAACAACCTCTACCCTCCACCCCTCTCCACCTCTACAAAATATGGTTTAAGTTGCACCACCACCATCATTCTGTTGCTAGCAACACATCCCCTGACTTGGGTTTCTGTTTTTCATCCAATTCAGAAGAACAGGGATTCAAGATTCAGCAGAAACCCTGGTTGGGGTTAAGGTTTTGGAGTTTTGAGGGAGATCAAGATGATGCAATCTGGGGTTCCTATATGCAACACTTGTGGTGAACAAGTAGGTTTGAATTCAAATGGAGAAGTGTTTGTGGCTTGTCATGAGTGCAGTTTCCCCATCTGCAAGTCTTGTTTCGATGCTGATATCAAAGAAGGGCGTACTGCCTGCTTGCGGTGTCACGCTCCGTATGATGGTATCTATCCCTGTCTCACTTCAATCTCTTTTAAGTTCAATTCTTTGTTAATGAGGTTGTTAGTTGTTATTTGATGTAATCCACACACACACACACACACACATATATATATATCCATGGGTGTGCTATGAAAATCTAAGATATCAAAACTTCAATCGTCCACCATCAAAATTGAATTAGTTGAATGTATACATATAAATAAATAAATGGAGAAATTAAAATTTGAAATAAAAATTGAGATAGTTGCATAAGGGCACTTTGGGAATAAGAAAATGCGTGACATAGCTTTAAATGGGCATTTGTGCCAATTTTTGCATTTACATTATATATATATAGCATGGGATATTTGTCTCCAAAATCCTTGTTCCTAATGAACTCTTGGTCACATCGTCATGCATTGGAAACAGGAAACATGGATTTTGGGGACAGAGGATCCCTGATCCATATATATAAGTTGTTTTAACTAATGTGTTTGTTTAAGGTTGTCAATGAATAAATTTCATTCTGTTGGTTGAGCCATTCACATGTTCAATCACTTTTTAATTACCAATCCCCATTTTTTCATTTTGTTCACTTCTATGATCCTTTCTACTCAACAACTTGTATATGAACCATAATGCAAATTAATAAAGATTGATGACAAGTGGCTTATAAGCCATCTACGGCCATGCCAAGAACGTCTTGAGAATATTGTACTTGTGCACATTTGGTGCTTGGCAGACATGCAGACACATTTAGAATAGCCTTCCATTCATTTTCAAACAATTTGTACCAACAGTAAGCAGTTTCACAAAACTACAATGGCTCAAACTTACATATAAATTTGCATTATGTTGTTTGATCATGGAATTGTCAATTATCAATGGTTCGTAAAGAGTTAATTGACCCTTTAGGCAGCCAGAGGTAAATGCAAGAAATAGATCTGTAACATTTGTTACAGCTGTTATGATCTAACAAGTATGTGTATTCTATAGTGATATCCTTTTTTCTTTCTTTGGTTTGTTATTTATTTTTATTTTTATTTTTTTTAACTGTTAATATTCTTGTCCTCGTTAGTTGATATCAAAAACTGGTTGCATATTTGAATTGTACAGAGAACTCAGCAATGGCTAATGATGAAACAGAGCCATCTGGCAATCGATCCACAATGGCTGCTCACCTCACTAATATGCAGGTATTAATATCTGTACAATCCTCTGATTTTTCTGTAAGTAATATTAATGACAATTGCATTTGTAGGAACTTGACATACTAAATACCAATTGCATTAGTATTGGTTGAAAATCTAATACGCTTCTGCACAATACTAGGTGCAGGATGTTGGACTCCATGCTAGAAATATAAGTAGTGTATCCACTCTCGACAGTGGTGAGTTGAATTGATTGTTGTATTTTTCCAAGATTTAGTCTCTCTGTTTTTGTTTCCCTAAAACACTAACTTACTGCTATGCAATTAATATTTTCTCCTTTTTTGAAGAAATGAACGATGAATCTGGAAACCCGATATGGAAGAATAGGGTGGAAAGTTGGAAGGATAAGAAGAACAAGAAGAAAAAAGTTGCAAGCAAAGCTGTCAAAGAAGCTCAAGTTCCACCTGCACAGGAGATGGAAGAAAAGCAGCAGTAAGTGCACCAAAAATTAGTGTAAATTTGAACACCCATGAAAAGAAGAAAAGAAAGATGGATTTAAATATCTTAACCTGTTACTAGTTTAAATTGCTGTACAATAAAGGAATTCCGTGTTTAAGGCATGAATGAAATGATGTTTTTTTATAGATCATAGATTCATGTTGAGATTTGGTAACTCAAGAAATTGCTGTATAATAGTATATCACATTCCAACTTTCTTTTTTAATTTTTTATGGTATGTGTGGAGAAAAAGATGGAGGTAAAAGCAAGGTGTTATGCAAAGATTCATTTTTCTAAGAATTTTACATTTGTTTAATTATTAATCATCTATCTAACATCTTCAATCATCATTAACCACATGTTTTAGTTTCTTGGAGGGTCTACCTAATTTCCAAGGAATACTGGAATGAGTTCTGTTTCAATATGTGACTCTGTGTGGGATGGACTTGCTTTGATTTCATAAAATTCATGTCTTACCGAGATGTAATTATCGCTTGTGCAGGTTAGGAGATGCTGACCAGACACTTTCGAGAGTAATTCCAATCCCAAAGAGCCAACTGTCGCCATACAGAACTGTGATTATCATGCGATTGATCATTCTGGGCCTTTTCTTTCATTATAGAGTGACAAATCCCGTTGATAGTGCTTTTGGTTTGTGGATCACTTCTGTCATTTGTGAGATCTGGTTTGCTGTTTCCTGGGTATTGGATCAATTCCCTAAGTGGTCTCCCATTAATAGGGAGACATATATTGACAGGCTTTCAGCAAGGTATACATTTACAACTGCTAAACTTGCAAAATATTGTTAATAGTGTTAGGGATTAAAGCTCTAGCTCGCTGATAATGCCTAATTTTATACTAGTATCCAAGTTTTTGTTCCATCTGTATATTCATTGCAGAAAAAAACTTGTTGAATGAATCACTTTTAAGGCTAAGTTTGCAGCATATAAAGCAAAATTAAGTATGAAAATATGGTGGATAACAAGAATATCACTTCACCAATGGAGGTCCTTTAAAATGGCTTTATTTAAATACTTTAATGTGCACAAAAATATTAAAAATCTTGATACTGTGAACATAAGATGATTTTGTCAATGTCATTCCAGGTTTGAAAGAGAGGGTGAACCCTCGGAGCTGGCTCCTGTGGATTTCTTTGTCAGTACTGTTGACCCTTTGAAAGAACCGCCATTGATTACTGCCAACACTGTGCTTTCAATCCTTGCTGTGGACTACCCTGTTGAGAAAGTCTCCTGCTATGTGTCTGATGATGGTGCGGCCATGCTCACATTTGAGTCTCTCGTTGAAACATCTGAATTTGCAAGGAAGTGGGTTCCATTCTGCAAGAAATATGCAATTGAACCACGTGCACCAGAGTTTTACTTCTCACAGAAGATTGATTACTTGAAGGATAAGGTGCAACCCTCTTTTGTGAAGGAACGTAGAGCAATGAAAGTAAGCATCTGAAGCCATTTTCTAGTGACCAATCATATTTGTTTAGTAACCTAATCCTTTGGATGCTACAGAGTGCTAAACTCAAGTTGCAAGTATTTATACACAATTGATTATCTGAAACCACAAATCTCGTCATTTGTTTTATGTTTGATTACAGAGGGATTATGAAGAGTACAAAGTGCGGATAAATGCTTTGGTTGCCAAGGCTCAGAAAACACCTGAGGACGGCTGGACCATGCAAGATGGAACACCTTGGCCAGGAAACAACACACGAGACCACCCTGGCATGATTCAGGTTAAAACAGTATATCAATTACCACATTTACTCAGTTTTCAGTTTTGATCAGAAGAGCTATTCTTGGTACATTTTCAAACTCTGGATTTAGAATTTTTTCATATGGATCATATCCATCTCAATTCTTAAAAGATAACAAGTATGTTTTGCAATGATTAGTCTGCTGTGGTACATAGGTTCCCTACATACCTCCCTGTAGGCTTTCTTCAGCTTTTTGTAAATATTAGAGGAGATTGATTTTATGTATGTCTAGATTCAGAATATCTAAGGAAGTGCTTGGTGTAAATGGGAAATCAATTCCGGTATATTGTTTCATTTTGTGGCATATTCCATTCTTATCTTCTTTTATTTATTTATTGAATTCGATAATTTAACATCTATGACTCTAGATGTATTTACTTCATTCACAGTAGCAAGCTTCCTAACAAAGTACTCAATGACGTTAAAATTTTGAATTTCAATTTCAGACCTCTTTTTCATCATTTCAGGTTTTCCTCGGACATAGTGGTGCCCATGACTTGGAAGGAAATGAACTCCCTCGACTGGTTTATGTCTCAAGAGAGAAGAGACCTGGCTACCAACATCATAAAAAGGCTGGTGCCGAAAATGCTCTGGTATTTCTACATACATTGTCCAACAGAAGTGTTATTTTCAAACTGAAACTTCAGTGTTCTCATCTCAAGATTTATACTTAATGATTGGTATCTTGTAGGTAAGGGTGTCTGCAGTTCTCACAAATGCACCGTTCATCCTCAATCTTGATTGTGATCACTATGTTAACAATAGCCAGGCAATTCGTGAGGCTATGTGTTTCTTGATGGATCCACAAGTTGGTCGGGATGTATGCTACGTGCAGTTCCCTCAGAGGTTCGATGGCATTGATCGCCATGACAGATACGCAAATCGCAATACCGTCTTCTTTGATGTAAGCTTAAACATGGGTAGTAGTTTCATTAATTTCAATAATGATCATGTTACAACCCTTGTAGCAGCTACAGAGAGCAGACAATAAAGAAACAGACACAGTCATGTTGCATAAAATATTACACCTAAAACTAAATATCTATTTATTTAGTGGTAATTTTTCCACATTTTGTGACCAATTATAGTGTTTTGATTTTCATAAGATAGAAATATAAAATTAAATATAATTGACTTCTGTGGCTGTTTGGAAAATTCATATTCAGTTTAAAATAAAAAATAAAAAATAAAAAATAAATAAACAATAGTATGTCCCGAGTTTGTAAGACTCTGTTGTGGTGTGGGAAGCTAGAGGGCAGAAGGGTCTCCGGATTAATTGGGAATTTTGTGAGACGAAAGTTTATACTTCACTGTTTGTACTATTTTTCCTTTCCAAAAGAAAAGGAACCATCAAATTCAGATTAGCAATTATATTAAAGATCTTTTGAAATTTAGTCAAATAAATTAAATTTCAAAATTGTTCCTTGCTAATAAATTAGTCAAAATTTTGGAACCTGTCCTAGTGACAATGTATTGCAAAACTTTTTTGTCATTCTTTATCTCTAGTAGTTGTGGCATTTGAGACTTCTTCAATCTTGGTTTCAGGTTAACATGAAAGGTTTAGATGGCATTCAAGGACCAGTTTATGTGGGGACAGGTTGTGTTTTCAATAGGCAAGCACTTTACGGGTATGGACCTGCTTCTATGCCCAGCATACCCAAGGCCTCTTCTTCATCTTGCTCATGGTGCGGAAGCTGCTGTTGTTGCTGCCGATCCAAGAAGCCCGCAAAAGATGTCACAGAGATTTATCGAGATTCAAAAAGGGATGATCTAAATGCAGCCATTTTTAACCTGAACGAGATTGACAGTAAGACTCTTAATTGATTGATGCATTTAGACAGGCAAAAACTTTTAACAACATTTCCAAAATAATAAAATGTTCTTTGGGTTTTCCCTGCAGATTATGATGAGTATGAAAGGTCACTACTCATCTCCCAGTTGAGCTTTGAGAAGACTTTTGGCATGTCATCTGTATTTATTGAGTCAACACTAATGGAGAATGGAGGAGTGACTGAATCTACCAACCCATCATTACTGATCAAGGAAGCAATTCATGTCATTAGCTGTGGGTATGAAGAGAAGACTGCATGGGGAAAGGAGGTGGGATTTTCTATCCTCGTTCTAAAACTAGAATCCAAGCCTGTGTAGTTATGTTTTTGTTTTTGCCGATTTCGGTTTTCATTTCATTTTTTGTGTTCTTGGAAAAAAAAAAAAAAAACCATCCTTGTTCGAAAACTAGAATCCACATATAGATACTTAGATTGCATTTTTGTTTTTATCTTTTTTGTTTTTCATTTTTCTTATTTTGGTTAAAAGGTTCTAAAAAAATTCATCGTTTTTATTTTTGTGCGAATATAGTTTTTGAATATTCAAAAATAACTCGTGTTTCCTAAAAAAGAGCTGTTTTCAGAATAGTTCTGACAAACAAGATTTATGCTTTTTTCAGAAAATGAAAATACAACCAAACAGGCCATATTTCTTACATTTAGGATCTCTGCAGATAGGATTGGGATTTCAGTCTTCATCAACCTCTTCTATTCTTCTTCTAGTCAGTTTTTTTCTTTCAGGCTTAGTATAATGCACTTCTAAGCTGCCTTGTCTCTTTATTTTCCATGTTATAATCTTTTTGCTAGTGTCTAATTTATTTTTACTCATGACTTCGCAGATTGGCTGGATATATGGGTCAGTGACTGAGGATATCTTGACGGGTTTCAAGATGCACTGCCGAGGATGGAGGTCTATTTACTGCATGCCCTTGAGACCTGCATTCAAAGGTTCTGCACCTATCAACTTGTCTGATCGGCTGCACCAAGTTCTCCGTTGGGCACTTGGATCGGTTGAGATTTTCCTGAGCAGACATTGTCCACTTTGGTATGGATTCGGAGGAGGCCGCCTTAAATGGCTTCAAAGACTTGCATATATTAACACCATTGTTTATCCATTTACATCGCTCCCTCTTGTTGCGTACTGCACACTCCCTGCTATATGCCTTATCACTGGAAAATTCATCATACCAACGGTAATTATTCCTTGGACATTCAAACATATCTCGAGTTTGCATCCATAAAAGCTTTTAGTTGAACTTCATTACAAGAAACCATAATGAAGAAAAAATAAATATAAATAAAAATAATAATTGTGAATTGAAGAGTTGCTACTTAGTTGTCAAGTCAAAATTTAGCAAGATCTCTGATAATAACTGATTATAAACACTGACATTTTGAAGAATAAAATACCTATGAAAGATGTGAATTTCCATGTAATTTAATTGAACTACAGACATTTATAGATTTTTAGTTTAAGCAATGCTACTCAGGCCGAAATTTGGTCTAAAAGTGACAGATGTGGTGGCTCATGCTTGTGGCTCACTCGAGCATCTCCCAATTAGGAGCTTCCATATTTGTCACTCTCAGGTCTGATTTCAACATGAGTTTCATTTTCCATTAATTTTTGTCCCATTTAAACTTTTGGAGATCTTGGTTTCAGAATCTAGATTTACTTGAATCTTGTCAAAGTTTCTTATACCGATTATTCAAGGAACTTACTTTTTATCCTGATTCAGCTCTCAAACATAGCGAGCATATGGTTTCTTGGCCTCTTCATGTCCATCATCTTGACCAGCGTGCTCGAGCTACGGTGGAGCGGTGTCAGCATCGAAGATTGGTGGCGTAATGAGCAGTTTTGGGTGATCGGAGGTGTTTCAGCCCATCTCTTTGCCGTCTTCCAAGGATTTCTAAAAATGACCGCTGGCCTCGATACCAACTTCACTGTCACTGCAAAAGCCTCCGATGATGCAGAGTTTGGCGAGCTCTACGCTATCAAGTGGACAACAGTTTTGATCCCTCCAACAACCCTTATCATTCTCAACTTGGTTGGTGTGGTTGCTGGTTTCTCAGACGCACTGAACAAAGGGTACGAAGCGTGGGGGCCACTCTTCGGCAAGGTGTTCTTCGCCTTTTGGGTGATCCTCCATCTCTACCCATTCCTCAAGGGTCTAATGGGTCGTCAGAACCGGACTCCAACGGTTGTCGTGCTCTGGTCAGTGTTATTGGCCTCTGTCTTCTCTCTCGTTTGGGTCAAGATAAATCCATTTGTGAGCAAAGATGATGGTAACATGGTGCAAGGTTGCATTTCCATTGATTGTTGAGTTACCAAAAAGTAAATTTGCCAGCATTTCGGTGTCAGGATCAGCTCAATTAAGAACTTCTTTATATGGCAATTTTTACTCATCTTTCTTTGAATTTTGAAGATGTCATGTTAGATATCAAAGTCTGTTGATTTTGTTGTTTGGCTTGAGAGAAAGATCAAGAGAAACTCATATAGCTATGTAAAAATTTGAGAGAAATGATGTTTTACCTCTCTTGATTTTGGATGAATGAATGGTTGTCTCCAATTTTTTCTCTTGTTGTGTGGGCCATCTCTTTGCATTGATCTCATGGAACAGACTTGGATCTGTTGTTTGAGATAGACCAAGGATTCTTTTAGAGCGTTTTTTTCTTAAATTTTTTTGAAGTAATATATTGTGTGATTGAAATTTAATGCTAAAAAATTAAGTTGACTTGTCATTAAATTTCAACCACATAATTCACCGATTTAAAAAAAAAAATCCTAGAGGACCCTTGCCCTTTGAGATATATATGTTTTCCCTTTGATGTGACAAAAGGGCTTTTAAAGCTTTAAATTACCCATGAAGAAAAGTACAGGGATGTTTTCAGGAATCACTGGCCCCAACGGTCACTTTACAGTCTGTTAGCCTTTAAGACATTTTTGATAAGTGGAATTGACGTTAAAATAGTTAAAAAAAATAAAATAAAATTTTCTTTTAATAAGAAAAAAAAATTATATTTAATTTATAATCATTACATTCTTTTTCTCATAAAAAAATTTAAAAAGTCAAAAATTCTTTTCAAACTAGACTTTTTAATCACAGATTAAAATAATTAAAAAAATTAAAAAATTAAAAAGTCAACCCACTTCTCAAACCAAACCTAAGTCATGTTTGGTAAGTTTTCTATTACTAATATTTTTTCAATTTTTTTTTTTTGGAAATTCTAAACATAAAACTCATTTGGTGTCTCTTTTAATTTTCATAAAACTCATTTGATCCCTGACATAAATGTTGTTTAAAATCAAAAGAAGGGTTATTTTGAAATTTTACAAGAAGCCTCCATGTGTATATTTGGTCATTTTCATTTCTAAAATATGCATGTTGTTTCATTGTAATCTATAAAGTACGCATTTTCTTACAATTTTTTTGTCCCTAATCTTTTAATTTTGTTGTATTTTTTTTTTCCTGAAATTATGAAATACCCTTCATCCAATTATTGATTTTGAATGTACTGATACTTTCCTGGGGACTAAAGTGAAACATACTTGTAAACTTTGGGGACCAAAGTAGAACAATTAAAAGATTGGGGATTAAAATGTAAAATACACATACTTGGGGGACCATTTATATAATTTATTCAAAATTTTTCATTCTTTCATCTTTCTCTTAACATATCCAATAGCATCCACCTTTCATCACAACTTCTCGCCACCATCTCCCTGTCAAAACTACCTTTGCTTACTACCAATTACCTCCCACATGTGACAACCATTGTTCCACTCTTGTGTCCAACAACACCAATCACCAACTACCTCCCATCGACAACAACTATCTCTTATCAAAAATCATATTTTGCCACCATCTCCGGTGGCAAGCAATCACTTTTGGCCATCATCTTTGATCGTTGACAATCACCTCTTATTAAAAACTACCATTTGCCACCATCTTCTGTGGCAAGCAACCATTTTTGGTCATCATCTTTGATCGTTGACAACCACCTTGAAGAATCTAAAATCCTCGAGATATTGATTGGTGAGTATGTATATTTAAGCAGTAAATAGCAATCTCAATCAAACAATCAAAAATAAATTGACAAAATGATTTTACGTAAAAAAAACCACAATTGGAATGCCTCCAATTGTGATAAACAAAACCACAGACAAAAGTCACAAAACAATCCACTAAGAAGACATAAAGGAATTATACAAGTGTACTTTTAATTACCTAACAAATCCATGCCCGAATTGAACCGACCCCTATATGCCTCTTCCAACCCCGTCTTCACCTCGGAATTGTCTTGCCCAACGTTAAATTCATAACGCCGATGTCGAATCCATGACGATGAGCCACTTCGAAATCCACCAAATTTTCAAGCTCAAGTTTCATGAAATCCACCGAAGAATTACTCTCTCTTTTGTGAATAAACGAAAACAAACAAACCCTTTGATATAATCCACTCAATTTATGATATAAACTCTCACAGATATCAAAGGAAACAAACAAAGAAGTTCCAGATGAAAACCATAATACCCAAGAAAAAGATCTGGAAACCGTACTCTAAAACCTAACTGAATTACAACTTTTATAGCAAACAGATTTGTGATCTCCACTCAAACGCAAGAATGGCCGCTCGAGTGGAGTGACTAAAACGCGTGTGACTAAACAGGGTCTACGCTCGAGTGCAGGAATAGACACTCAAGCGGAAAAAAACAACTCCCAGTACTTTTGCAGGTGAGTGAAACTTCTGAACGGATTGCATCTGCACTCGAGCGCAGGAATAGCTACTCGAGCGGTCAAACAACTTTGACTGCAATTTTTCTTTTTGCTTCGAGGGCGCTGCCCTTCGACCTCGCCTGGGCGCTGCCCCGAACCCACCAAGGAACATTACTCCCTAGACCCCCGCGAGCTGACCGGGTAGCTCGATCCCCGACATAGTCAACGAAGTGGCAAACGTAATTAAGATCACAAACTCCTTTGCATAGGCACAATTCGGGTTGGATTCGCATCTAAATACTCATAGCCTCACTTAAATAAAAGATTGAATAAAATTACAACTAAAAGGAGTTTTGTCAAACGAAATTGCCAATAACAAAAACCTAACACCCCTTTTATCAAAAGCCACATTCTGCCACTATCTCTGGTTGCAAACAACCACTTTTGGTTCTCATCTTTGATAGTCAACAATCACCTTTAGCCACCACATCAAATTACACTCATTGTTTTCAAAACAAAGTTTTTAAAAATATATGGACTTTTTTTAAGTGTGCAACTTACACCTTACACTTACGCCTTTCTGTTTGCTGTCCTGTTTTATGTTTACACCTTCCACTTACACCTTTTGTGTTGGTTGCATATTGTGTGCAACACCATAACAGGACCCAAAATATATATACCAAATATGTTTTTTACATACATTATATTTATAATTTTCTATTTATGTTTATAAAAGATTTGAAAACTGTAAACAAAAACTAATTGATATTTATTTGAGTTTTTAAAAACCATAAACATATTTTAAAATTTTGCTAAAAGGATTATTTATTACATTCACCCCTCTCTATTTATTAGTACATGAATTCGTCTCACAATGTGAGAAAGGTAAAAATTTAACTACTTTTTTTAGTTACAACTTTAAAATTAGGGTGAATTACACTAATAGTTCTTATAGTTTAGGATTTGTGTCACTTTGATCTCAGACTTTTTAATTGTGACACATTTGACTCTAAATTTTGAATCTTGTTCCAAATAAGGACAATTGAAGATATCATTAAATTTTTCAAAGGTAAAATCGTCAATTTGATAAAATATAAACTAATTTGACAAAAATAAATGTTAAACAAATATTTTTAAATTTTTAAAAATTATTTCTACCCATTAAAAATAAAATTATGTAAAATTGATAAATCTTTTAGACATTTATTTATTTTTTTACCAAATTAATTTTTATTATGTGTTTGGATTATAATCATATAAAATTAATTTTAAAAAATTAATCATGTAATTTTTATTAATTTTTATCAATTTTACATAATTTTATCATTGGTGGATAAAAATAATTTTAAAAAAATTAAAAATATTTTTTTGATATTTATTTTTTTCAAATTAGTTTATATTTTATTAAATTGACGGTTTTGCCCTTAAAATTAAACAATGGTATCTTCAATTGTTCTTATTTAGAATAAAATTCAAAATTCATGGTCAAATGTGTCACAATTGAAAAGTCAAGGACTAAAGTGACACGAGTCCTAAACGATAGCGACTATTTGTGTAATTTACCCTTAAAATTAATATATTAACGATTGTATTAGCAGTGCCGTTTGTTAGTAAGATGATGGAAGTGGTGATAAGAGATAGGGGTAAGTATAGTTCGGATTGGATCGGATTGGGGTACAACCAGGACCAATTCGTTATCTACGGTTCCTGAAAAATTGGAACCAATCCAATCTATTTAAATCGTGGAACCAATCCGAACTAATCCATTCAAACACGGATTGGATCGGTTTAGGACCACGGATTCACATAATTAAATAACAAAAAAAATATATAACACTTTAATTTCATAAAAAACATAAATATAGCACCATATTAGTTCCACAATAGCAATATATTTTTCCATAATAGCGATATACTATTCTAGAATTTAAACAACCATAAGAAAATTAGTTCCACCCTAAATATTTAGACTATTACAAATTAAAACTAAAAACTAACAAACAAAAGTAATAAAAGAAGATACTATGCGAGTTTAGGTTTGGATTTAAGTTTTATATGGAATAAGAAAAGATATTATGTGGAAGGGTGTATAATAAAAATATGAACTATTTGTATACGGTCTAAATCGGTTCCAATTCAAAACCAATCCATGGATTACAGATTTTTAATTTTTCAATTCAGAATCGAACCACGGATTCAAAAAAATCAATCCAAACCTACTGAATTTGACTGAATTGGATCGAATTACGAATTTCATGAATTCCTTACTCAGGCCTAATGAGAGAGTAGTAGTAAAATTGTACTTACAAAATTTTATTGTTTTTTTTTTTTTAAGTATAAGATTTTAGTTGAAAATTTATTTTTTATTTATTTTTTCTAATACCAAAGGTTAACAAATATAATTTTTGGTCAAAACGGTAGTGAAAAACATTATAGCATGGGATACCTCCAAATTCAGGCGTTGAGTTGTTTGGTATGTGATTTTTTTGGCTAAAGTAGTCAAAATATAAAATCAACTTATTGTATCACTCTTTCTTTCTTTTTTTTTTTTTTGGTATGTTTTTTCCACAATAAATTAAAAAGTTAATTAAAATAATCAATTACCAAACTATTGTTTGAGTTTTTGACTTTTTAATTAAAATAGTCACCAAAAAAAAAAAAAAATCAAAACATCAAAACATCCAATCAAATCATTCTATCCAATTTTTTGAAAGCTTTTTCATAAAAATTTAAAAAGCTAATTAAAATAATCACTTTCCAAATAAGTTTAGTTTTTATAAATTGATATAGTAGTTTCAGACCAAAAAATGGTTAAGACCTACCCACCAAAAAAAATAAAAAAATAACTTTCGCAATTTGA